GGAAGAGAAAGGAAGAGAGTGCCATGCGACACTAACTAAACGGCTGCTTGTACTTGGGGACGTCCTGTGCACAGGGAGGCCGCGAATGTGCAGGTTATAACCCCCCTCCTGTTGTTGCTAAAGCTTGACTGACCTTCAGTCTCTCTAAAGCAAAGGCACGAATGGCCTGAGACTAAGGAAAACTATGTGGCCTGACTAAACATATAAAATGGCCCAAGAGCAGTCTTCACATAACCCAGACTTTTGAAAAATGCAGCTAACGACTGTGCCCTGCTGGTGCCCAGGAGCTGCATTTTAAGGGCATTGGCCTGGGCTGGGCCAGCGCTGCTTTCCCCTGGCAGTGAGGGATCCCCGTGGGGTGAGGCTGCGCTTTGCCAGTGGGAGATGAGAGGAAGAAGGTGGCACACGCAGTCGTCGCCAACCACTCTGGGACAGCTCGGGCTTGACCCACAAGCCCTAAGGCGCCAGTACAGAAAAGCAAGACTAAAACTCAAGCAGTGTTTTCAGCAGTGTGGGAAAATCCAGGAAAAACACAACTAGATCTGGGCAGCGTGCGAACCAGCCAACTGTTTTACAGTCTCAAATTCATAGAACGAGAGAGGAAGGGAGAGAGAGGAAGGGAGAGAGAAGGGAGCCAAAACGTGCAATTCCCACCGCGGGGGGTGGGACCACTCTCCTGACCTGGCAGCGGGCTCCACCACTCACAGCTCGTCCTCGGAAGTCATGTGGACACTCAGAAACTTAATCCTATTTCCTGATCATTTGCTTTTAGCTATTTGAAGAAAAATCCTTTCTGTATACCGACCAGGACATCCCTTGCTGCAGGATTTTCTATCAAGTCTCAGACCAGAAAGGGCCAGTTCTTAGAAGCAAATCCACTCACCTAGTTTTCAGCTAAATACACTGAAACCTCATACATTCTGACTTTGCTGATTCAGGACTGGAGATTTTTGAGGAAAAGCACATTGTGAGACTGACTTTTCCTGTTCATGGCAAAAAAGCGTTGCTATAGATTAATACTATAAGCATTGACCATGGAGCAAAAACTTACTGTAAGTTTTCAAGTTTTAAGCCCCCTTCACACAAAACAATATGCTAATTGCACAGCATTCTTATCTGTGCACTAAGATGTTGACACTAGCACCTGGGTAGCTGGTTTAAATTAGCTGACGTAAGCAGTGTGCATAGTTCCTATAACTTAGAAAGCACTTTAAGTAAGTTGGGGTTTTTTTTTCCATTTCCTTAGAGTTACAGTTATATATGAAAGTAGAAAAGCCACATACTGTTCTCCTAAAATATTCTGCCTGTGGGAATTAGATAAGCAGGGAGAATTCACATTGAGATTCAGGAAATGTCCAGGTAACCTGCGGAGAACCGAGGAAGAAGTCTGGAGTGTAGACACAAGGCTTTGGTCCCACCCAGTTCAGCTGGGCTCTTTTGAATCATAAAAATCCATTCCATACCTTCCCCACACACACACATGCCCTTTCTGTAACTTTTTTTTAAGTTGCCTCTAGAATTTTATTCTCTGAACTGTACCTCTTGGGACTGAGAATCCCAGATAGCTTCACAGATTCCCCACTCGCTCGAGTCAAAGGCTGCTTCTTCCACCTAGAAAGCCTGTTCGATTTTGTCTTTAAATCTCCTCAGGTCCTTGGGCTCCACGAGGCCCCCACCACAGCACGTGACTCTGGCCGAGTGGCAATGAGAAGCTGCTTTTCTTTCATTAAATAAATAACTCCCGTATGTAAGCCACAAAGCAAAATGAGTAGTTTGGTTCTGGATGGAAATAGAAGCGGGAAATGGTCCAGCTAAGAGCCCTCAGCAAATAGTTTTGCCCTTCAGGCGCTTGCGCTTATTAGCCCTTGCTTCTGAAACCAAGGTGCCGGGTTTTTCATTTTGTTTTTTAAAATATATTTCTATTGATTTCAGAGAGAGAGAGAGAGAGAGAAACATCAATGATGAGAGAGTCACTGATCGGCTGCCTCCTGCACGCCCCCACTGGGGATCGAGCCCGCAACCCGGGCATGTGCCCTGACGGGGAATCAAACCGTGACCTCCTGGTTCATAGGTCAACACTCAACCGCTGAGCCACGCCGGCCGGGCAAGGTGCGGGGCTTTTATAAGAATCCCACATCCTTAAATCAAGTCCAGACTGTGGGTCAGGAAATGGGCTCCACGGGGGGCGGGAGCTAGCTAGCAAACAAGGGCAGCAGTGAAGTGAGGGCAGAAGTGATTTTTTTTTTTTTAAGTAAATAAAAAGCACTTATGCTTTAGTGGAGGTAAAGTTCATGCCTTTAAAGGATGACTGTGGTTACTTTCTTCAGGAAGCTCCCCTGGCAGCTGCCTAAGGGGCCTCTGTCCCCGGGCCCTGGGCTTGCGTCATAATCTGTCAATTCCTGTTCACTGCTGGTCTGTGCCCGTGAGCTGCGAGCTCCTCCAGAGCGGGCCCGTTGTGTCCTCTGCAACCAGGTGATGCCCAGCGCCTAATACGTTGTTTACGCCCAGGAGATGTTTGCTGGTGGGGAGGAACGGGCAGGCGAGGCAGAGCAAGGGGCAAGGCCGCGAGGGGCTGGGCCGGTCCCCCAGACGCGCCCTCTAGCCAGGGAGACGGAGGCTGCAGGCGGCCGTCTTGGGTTCTCCTATAAGGATCAAGATGACACTTTTATGGGGGTAGGCGGGCAAATATTTTTAAGTTTCAATTTTAATTGTTTTCCTTATTGTGAGAAATACCACTTACAGGAATGCGTACGAGTGATATGTACAGTTTGAAGAGTAAATGGACACCGCGTAGTCACCACAAAGGTCAAATAGAGAATTACAGAAGCTGCCCCACGTGTCCTGATCACATCTTCCTTCCTCTTCCCAAAAAGTAACCCCAATCCCACTTTTCTGATAACCATTTCCTTGCTCTCTCTGATTGTACCACCTGTGTATGGGTCCCTTAGCAGTACAGCTGAGCTCTGCTTGTTTAACTTTGTATAAATTGAACCATACAGTATACATAAGCTTTGGAGACTTCTTTCCCTCGCCTTTGTCTGATTAACCCATGTTTGTTGAATGTAGCTCTAGGTGTTTTTTTTCATTACTGTAGTATTCTAGGACGATGCCACAGTTTTGTTTTTACTTAAAGATACATTTTATTTTATAAATAGAGCTAAGACTTTAAATCAGATGTGTTTAGGACCTCTCTACCTGGTTTCCTCAGGCGCCTTAACCTGTCTAAAACTTCACTGCTCACCTGCTCCCCCCGAAACTTGCCGCTTCTCCTGTAGCCCCTCCCCCCTTTGGAGGACCCACCTGGCGCTCAAGCCCGAAACCAGGGGTCCCTCTGGATTCTTTCTCCTTCAGTGCCCACGGGTGTCAGGCCCCAGTTCTGTGACCGCCTCCTTCCGTTGCTCAGGCGGCCTCCTCTCCCCCCTGCCCCCCCTTAAGGCAGGAGTTTATGCCACCACTTACCCTTCCCTTCCGCTGCCAATGGACTTCTGCAGTTTTCCCAGTTTGGGGCGAATAGCACGGTGCTTCTGTAGACATTGTTGTTTATCTATTTCCTGGGATATCCAAATGTGTTTTTTTGTTTTGTTTGAGAATTCTTGCTACCACTGGAATCGGGGAAATCCCGAGTGTTGTGAAATGGAAGGAAACTATTCCTTGTTTCTCCGAGCGTGGTCAAGGATGACCCACACCAATGGCGTCTGGGGAATTTGTTAAAGATGCCGTTTAGAAGGCCCAGCCCAAACCTACCCAATGAGAACCTCTGGAGATGAAGCCTAAAGCTGCACTAAGCAAGCTCGCTACCCCCTCCTCTTTGCCCATGAGTCTTCGGTGGATCCCTAAGCCCCTACTTTCTGTGGATGTTACATGTGTGATGAGACAAACCTCAGTGGTTGCCATGGGATGAGATCTGGAGAGCAGAAGGGGCAGTGCCGCCTTCACGCCCAGGAAATCAGCTCCCTCCCTACTCCTGTGCTTGGCTCCTTGCACTCCCTGGTCTGTCGGTCTCTAAGTGGACTGTGCCCCTCACACACCAGCAGGTTGGGGTCCCAGCTTTTCCTTTGCAGCCTCCCCTTCATTTTGGTCCACAGCCCACCACCTCTGCTTTATTCCTCTTTAACTAACTGCAAAGTCTTTCCATGACCCTTCACAATGCTTGGCCTCAACAGGGCACCTAGTTTTTGTCGCTGTTGTTTTTCAAGACTTTATTTTTCAGAGCAGTTTTAGGTTCACAGCAAAAATGAGCAGAGCTTTCATATATCCCTGTCCCCAAACATGCACAACCTCCCCCACAACCTCCCCCACAAGAGCAGTACATTTGTTGCAATCAATGAGCCCACATCAACATACCACAATCACAAAAAGCCGTTTCTCTCCCCACAGCCGCTGCTCTTTTAACTGTCTCCGTAGCCTTCCCTTTTCCAGAATGTCGTATAGTATGTAGCCTTTTCGGATTCTTTCCTTTAGTAATACCTTCCCATGGCTTGATAGCTCGTTTCTTTTGAGCACTAAATATTCTGTCTGGATGTTTGTCCAACTAATGCAGGACATCTTGGCTGCTTCCAAGCGTTGGCGGTTATGAACACAGCTCTTATAAACATTCATGTGCAAGCTTTTTTGTGGACATGTACTCAGCTCCTTTGGGTAAATACCAGGGGGTGCAGTTGCTGGATCGTATGGTAAGCGTGTTTAATTGTGTAAGAAACTGCCCAAGTGGCTGTATATCCCTTGGCAGCGTCCCGTCAGGAAAGTATGCGCGTTCCTGCTGCTCCACATCCTCCCCAGCGTTTGGTGGCATCAGTGTTTCGGATTTTGGCCATTCTGATAGGGTGTGTAGTAGGACCTCGTTTTAATTTAGGCACCTAGTGTTCGATCTGCTCACTCCGTTTTTGGTGTGTTATAAAATTTTGTACAGCAAGTTATGTAAGCAGATACATTTTTATTATTAAAAATGGTCTTATTTACAAACATTTCTTAAGACTAATTTTTTTTTTTTCCTTTTATAGATAAATGCAGAGGGGACACCAGAGGAAGTTTTTCTTCGACTTTGCACAGCTATTGACTCTATTTTCTGAAGACAAAATGCATGTATGTTAAGGAGAGTGGAGACAGAAATATTAAAAGGTTTATACCATAACAGTGTGTTTCAGGTTAAACTTTTTGTGTCCCTTTCAAATCCTGACGTTGCTGTTTGCTTCCCAGCCCGACCTGTGTGCGGCGTGTGGAAACCGTGCATGGTGTGCTTGGTGTCGCCCAGCCCCTTCCTCATTCGGGCAGCTGCCTGCCCGCAGCGCGCGCCTTCCTGTCGCAGGCAGCCCCCAGCGCTGTCGGGCCCGGACGGCAGCGCAGCGCGTCTGTCAGCCCTCGGGGCTGGCGCGAGTCTGACCGTTCAGTTCCCTTCCCGTCGAACGGGGAGTTCGTTAGCGTCCCTAACTTCCCCATCACATCTTCCTTCCTCTCCCCAAGATTCTTACGCTGTTGCCTGATGAAGGCCCCTAATGGGGGGG